ATTTCACTTAAAATAGATTAACATATGAAAAATCAGGATTTGATTATTTTATTTGATGCTTGATGCGAAACGTTCTCACAAAGAGTTTCGTTAAGCAATCGAACGAAACAATTCGCTTCATATTTGCGCTGCACTTGTGAGCTTAGCTTGCAATTTCTCAAGTTAGATTCACTCGTTTCTGCCTCGGTAGTCACCGACGATTGAACAGGTCTTCGGACGAGAAGTCGAGGTCGCACGTTCGCCACCCTTTTTCTTGCCAACCCTTGGACACAATAACGCGTCCAGTGTTTCGGAGGTCGAGCCGCTTAAAATATTCTTGGCGAGCGCACCCTTTCTTCGCGGCTGAGCTGCAAAGTGAACTCCGGTCCCACGGCGAGCCGTCGAGAAATCGACACTCGCATCGGTTACGTTTCGAGGGTGCAATCCCCTTTCCACTCAACTTTGCTCGAGTCGAGAGGCTGCGCGGAGTCGAGTGTAACCTTCGAGTACCTTCTTCAAAAGTCCGTAGATTAATAGATTTTAGGTGGAGAGAGGTCCACTCGATACTCTGGCGAACTTTTTAAGTGAATCGAAGGGACGAATTAATGCTGAACCAGTACAATCAAATTACTTTTGTTATATAATACTACTTTAAAAAAAACTTTTGTTTATATTTCGGTACGATAAAACTAATTACTGAATTGGGTAGCTTAATTATATGCAAAATTAAATCAAAATTGGAACTGTACATAAAAAGGGGTAAATGAGAATAAGATATTATGTCTCACGTATGTTTAATGTAACAATGATTGATATATAAAATAAAAAAATTGAACTATTATATTATTAATTATTATTGATAGTTGATAATAAAAGGGAAGACTGTGTGGAAGGATGGAAGACGTTTGTCCGCGCTTACCTCTTCCTCGAAGGTTCTTGTAGCGACCGGAAGTACGAAATCTAATTTCGGCTCCCGGACGATCGCGTCGCTTTTTTCCCCTTGCCTCGGGAAAATTTCCTGCGTACGCCGGACGCCGGTTTAAAAAGTTCCACGATCCGGAGGAGTTCGAATCGCTTGGGATATCACCGAAGCACGGCTTGATTATTTCCACAAAAGGGACAAACGACTACCATTTTAAATTGCGTTTTAAAAGTCGTTCGAATCCGAGTCAAACTGAAGGAAAAGTTTTAACATTTGATCTCGATGGAAATAATATTAAGTAGACGTTCATTTTTAAAGAACTAGTGAATGGATGCAAATTTCTTTACCGTTGCACCTTTCCTCTTGTTTAATTACGTGACTTTTCTTTTAAGAAAATGTATCTATAACAACTTGGTAACGAGGATCGTAACGTTTACTCATAATCCAGCTTTTTGCTGATCCCAATAGAAATTCGAATGAGAAGGGGCAGTGCGTGGGTAAATAAAAAAGAAGGAAGGGAGAGCACGGGGAAAAGTTTTCGCCAAACCGGATACAAGGAAGTTCCACCGTATTCGCGCATCCGGTCCCATAAATCTCGGACTCTTCCCGCCTTCTCGTGCCCGCCGGCCAAGTCACCGAGCCCTCACTCTGTCCGTCGAATAAATTTCCGATCGCAACCTTTTTCCAGTTCGCTGTTTCGCTTTGAATCGGTCGGTGCCATTCCTGAATCGTGATCGACAGTACGTAACAGAGAATCTGTCGATGTTCTCTGTCTTATCAACTTTGCGTAAAATTTTATTTCGAGAATATTAATCGAAGTTCGTACATTTTAATAATATAGATAACGATAATTGAGAGACATGATTAAATAGACAAATTTATTAAATATCGTCGATAAAATAGATATATAGATCTTTGATCGTAACTTCTGCATTACCAACTACCTTCTGGGAGGATTGAATAATTATTTGCTGAGTCGCGTTCTAGCTTATTGAAAAAATAATCAGAATCAGAATTCATGAGGATTAGGGCTAAGTATATGTATTTATGAGTTATTGATGACTCGGACAATAAGAGACAGTATAATAACGTAATTAACGCGTTGACAAATTGAATCGGCTCCAAATGAATATTCTTTTCATCGTGTCTGTACCCCGACGCTCTCTCGCTTGCCATAAATATTTCATGGCATCCCCGTGTCCGTGGAAAATCGAAGAACGTTCAACGATCATCCTCCGGCTGACACACCCTCGTGAAAATCTTCTTCAGAAAAAAACCATGAGAAACCGATAATCCCCCATCGATCAGAGAATATCGCGAAAATGAAAATCTTGTTCGATAATCAAAAATGAATCGCATAAAAATTCCGAAAGGGGTCAAAAATCTTTCAAACGATTAAATTTGAAAAATGTCTAAGTTAAAATTGTTCGTTATTTCGTGAACGATGTTTCGTCTATCTCGGTATAATACGGATCTCGAGGAAGCTAGCTGTACGTCGGGTTCCGAATAAGCGGATGGAGGGAGAGGCCATTAACCGGTAAAGAACGGCGTGAAAGCAAGGAGGATATTAGAGCGATCCGGCGATTGGCTCCGATGCAATTTCGCACGGTACAGCGGCGGCACGTTGGACGAAGGTGTTAAATTCACTGGATGTACGTCGGACGAGCCATTCTGGGGTAGCCGACAAATCCGATCGTATTTTCATCGACGCCAAATTGGCAATATCCTCGCCGGTGACGATTCCTGAATTATGCATCAGCCTCGGGGACAGTCGCTTCGAAGTTTATCCATCCCGCTCGTTTCCATCCGCAGCCTCGACCCGTTCGACTCTCTTCCACACGCTCCAGGAGAGTTTTCTGCCCTCGCAGCTACCACCTCCGCGGCCACCCGTTCCACCCACACCAGCGTTCACCCTCGCAGCTTCCGCTTCCGCCTTCTCCGCCCTCTCTTACTCTCGCTTCGTCTCTCCCTTTCTCGCGCCCCTGTCCGCACTCCCTTCCTTCGGACCCTTTCTCCAATGGAAACGTCACTTATTGGTCGAACGAAAGGGAGAAAAAGAGAGGACACCCTCGAATCCGACCAATCACGGTGAACGTCCGCGATAATGTTCGCGATATCTCTCGCGGTACAGACTCCGGCAAAACCATATCACGCTTCAAGAGCTCTACTATCGAGATGATTCGCTTGGAGAAATTCCCAAAGACCCTTCCTCAATAAATTTTCCAACGATTTTAAAGAATTACGAACATCGCGTCGAAAAAGAACAATTTTCACAAAAGCAATATATGCGTTAATTGTTTCTGTATATAAAGCGTGCTTATTAGAATTTACATATTTCTATCATTCAGATAGTTAAGAGTTTTATTATTTTGAAGAGTTTCTTAATAAAACAAAGCGATTATCAAAGGAACTTCGGAATTGAAACAGAGTCGATTAGACGTCTCCGCGACGGTGAGTAACGAAGCGTTACGAATAGATGAAAAAGAGAAGCGGAGAGAATCCGTGGATGATAATCGAATCGAGCGCGTTTGGAAACGGCCCTTAAGCCTTTACGAGAGGGGACAGACAATGGAAGGTAAAAGTAAAGCGTCGTTCTCGGAACGGAGGGCTGCTCACCCCAATAATAAAATGATAAGAACCCCGCCCGGCGTCCTTCACCCTCCTTCGCGCCGCCACCACCCTCTCCCTCGGCGTTGCTTCCTCTGCCCGGAGCCGACTCGTATATAAATGTCGATATTATTGTAACGAACCGCTCTTGATAGCAATTTCTCCTTCCACGGTGCTCTATCGTTCGGAGACGAGCCCACGCGATCGGACACTCGCAAATTCGTTGAATCGACCCATGAATTTATGGTTTCCGGATCGCGCGCGACGGCTTCCAAGCCTCTATTCGCTGCTCGTCCCGCCAGAGTTTTCCAAGCTTTATTAATGCCTCGCTAATTTGCATTCCGCGTGTGCAAGTATTTTTAGAAATCATTTTTATCTACATTTATGTAAATTCATAAGAGGGATTTACTACAAATGGATTTATTGACATTGGGTACGTGTTAGAACAATTTATCTGTTTCGTCGGCGGGTTTCACCTTGCGATCGGAGTACGCGAAAATTTTAGATAGTAACAGGGGACGAATACGGTTCTGGTTTCCTGAGTTTTCCCGAGCCTTTCTCTTCCTCAGCCACCTCTCTGCCTCTCTCATGTGTCTTCGATCGTAAATATTTTTACGCAGAAACCAGTCGATAGTTATCAATCACGAGGTCTATTCGAATTTAGACTTGGACTTCTTCTTAGAAATAAAAAAAAAAATTAATCGAATGTACGTCGAGTGTCGCGTGGCCGACGAGGCTCGTTCGTTATCTGAACCGAGATTCTTTAATACGCTGTCATTCGCGTAAAATCGAGGACCCTGAAGGAAATTGTCCATTTATGCAGGTTTTCTTTCCCACGATTGTGCAACGAAATTTAAAAGCGAAAGCGCGACATCAGACACGCGACCAAGGACACACACGTAACAAGCCGGCTCGTTCGCCTTTCGCGTTCCGTTCCTCGGATCTTTACGAGCGCCGGTACGAAGGGCTGGAACGGTGGATTGATCAATTTAGTCGGGACGCTCTCTTGGTCGATCCTGGGGACGAGAGCTGGCAAACCAGTCGACCGGAAATTATCATTGACGATCATCGATCCGGGTGACCGAACATCATTGTCTAATAGATCTCGTAAGAAACTGATTTCTTCTGCCAATGCGTATCTTGTTATTTACCTTCATTAAAAAAAACGTACGAATTAGATGAATAAAAAGAAATATTAAAGATTGTAAATTATACATGTATCATTTTATAATGAATCTTACTTCTTTCGGTGAATAGCGGCGACACCACCTTTTCCCGTTTCTTCTTCAGTTTTCTTTTTTCTATTTTGTCGTCGCAAGGTTTCGGCCTCTTACAAATTAGACTCTCGGGTGGACAGTAGTGCGGCTCCCTGGGACAGATATATGGTTCCTTCGGTTTGCACGGCGGTAACGTAGGTTTGGTCTTTTTGTCTTCTTTCATATCGTAGCAGGGACAGTCACCAGGATGCAGCTTCAGCGGTGGTGGACAAGGACATAGAACGACAGGATCTGTGGGTGGCTTTGGCATAGGCGGTGGCATACAGATTTCTTTCTTCCTCACTGGTCGAATTTCCACGCACGGTTCCACCATCTGTTCCGGCATGTCCGGGCAAGGTTTGGGTACGGCGAACTTCGGTGGAGGACACACGGACGGTCCGTAGACCATCTTTGGCGGTTTTGGTACCTTCGGCACGTCGCATTTACCTGGAGGAATGCATGAATCGAAACAGTCCTTCTTCTTCTTCTTTCCTTTCTGCATTGTTTTCTTGAGTTTCCTCCCATCGCATTTGTTCGGTTTCGCGTAGCATTCTTCCACAGAAGCGTTGGGCTTCTTGTCGCAGGTCTTTAGGCAACCCTTCTGCGATTCCTTTACGCAAATATCCTTTATGTCTTTACACGTTTTTGATTTTCCGGACTTCTTCTTGCCCAGTAGTGTCGAGAAAATATGAAACTCTTTCGTATGGATCTTTTGCGGATCGAATCTCGACGGGGCGAGATACGTGGACATCTTCCTCTTCTTCACCTTGTCGTTTTTACCTCTCTTTTTGCCGCAATCCCTCGGGCAAGATGGAAGACCCTCGGGACAGCGCGGTCGCTTGGGCTTCTTCTTGCAAGGTGGACAGGGTTTCGGGCATGGACAAGGCGGGGGTGGTTTGGGACAAGGACAAGGGCAGCAGGGTGGCGGTGGTGGGCAAGGTGGCGGCGGAGGACACTCCGGGCAAGGTGGACACGGAGGACAAATCTTGCAGGGTGGTGGCGGACAGGGTAATGGCTTTGGGCACGGTTTTGGCGGTGTACAAGGTGGACACGGTGGCGGTGGTGGGCAGCTAGGTGGAGGACAGGGTGGCGGGCAAGGACAGGGTTCGCAAGGTGGCGGTGGCGGACATTCCCGTTGCGGCGGGCACTCGGGACATTTCGGAGCTCTTGGGCATCTTGGCAAAGGCGGTGCAGGAGGTGGTGGGCAAGGCGCTGGACACCTGGGCGGCCTGGGCAGCTTGGGTAGCGGCGGAGGTGGTGGGGGCGGAGGTATCGTCGGGCATTTTGGAAGCCTGGGTAGTTTCGGCGGCGGGGGACACTTTCGGTAGCATATTTTCGGCGGTGGAGGTTTCTTCGGCGGCTCGGGGCAGGGACATGGACAGGGCGGCGGACACGGTGTCTGGGGCTGAGGACACTTGGGATTCTTGGGTCGTTTGCGACAGCACGGTGGTGCCGGCTGTACGCACTTCTCCGGTGGTAGGCAAGGCTTGGTTCGTTGGTACGGTTGTTTACAAGGTCCTCTCTGAGGACTCCTTTCGCCTTTACATTTCGGTGTAGTCTTGCAACTGTCCGATGGCGGAGCCGAACGGGGCGGCCTCTTCTTCTTCTTCTTGCCCATCAAGACGGAGTCGTTGCGAAACGATCTTGTCTGTTGTTGTTGCCACCAGTATTTCATCAGCTCTTTCGATAGACAGTTCCCGGGCCCCTTCGAGACGACAATAGAGTCGGGGCAGGTTGTGAAATTCCTCGCGCAGGCGAGTCCCATGTTGAGTCCCCATCTCGGAGAAGACGCCAAGATCCACCCGTTACGAAAGGACGATCCCAAAGAGAACTGGCTTCTAGCTCGGAAACTACCAAGTGCCGCGGTGGAAAATTTCAAAAGCGATCCCAGAGAGTTTGCGCTCGCCTATATACGGACGTAGACAGAAGAGAGATTTTTTGATCGTACAGTTTTAGCCCGCTGCTTCCGCCGCTATCTCCACGTACCCTCTGTCTCTAGGTGCTAGATCTTTTCAAAGAGCACCCGTCACCTAATTACAACATTTTTTCGTTTTGCACGGTTTCTTCGGTGGACACTTTACGCAAAACGGCTTCTTTTCCGGCTTCGGTTTCGAAGGGTAGCCCGGTGGACCCATGGGCTTACAGGGGCCCTTTGGTGGATGACATGGGCTCTTGCGCGGCCAGTCGGGCGGACCCTCGCCGCAGTCCGGCTCCCCGAGTCGTAGCTCTCCCTTCTTCCCTGCACCCTGGATGATCAGATCACATCACATTCCTTTTTATCTCTCTCTCTCTCTCTCTATTATCTTTGTTTTTGTTTTAACGGCTCTTTTTCCTCCGATTTGTCCTGGCCCACCTCCCTCCTTCACCCGTGAATCGATGATCGAACCGCGTACGAACGCGAACATTTGGACGATTGGAGATCGCGATCGCAAGGTGATTCTTCGCGACGAAACAATTTATTTTCAAACGGTTTATTCTTGTACGGATATATAAAAATGAGATACAGGGAATATTGGGACGATTCTTGTGAGCGAGTCTCCTCTCTTCTAGGGCACCGATGTTTGTTCGGTGTTCGATCGTTTCCCAACGTCTAACGGAACGTTTTCGAACGACACGTTAGCGAGCGGCACCGATGGCCGTCTCGTCGATTGTAGATCCATATCTTCTTCTCTGGTGGGTCTCCTATGGGGAAACTCTTTCTTCAGTTGGCCATAATCTATGCCGATCTCGTCCTCGTACTCCTCGCCTTGGGGGAAATAGTCGTCGTTCCGCGTTCTATCTTCCTCTTCGAGGAGCATGGTCCTCTCGCGGTACTTATTATTTTGCCGCTCGATAGTGCGGTTCTTCAGGCCGAGGATCCGTGAAACGTCGCCGTCGCGATCGATCGTCGTCGTCGTGGATCCCTTCGGGTCGGAAGTGATCGACAAAGGGCCCCTGTTCCTTCGGTCCGAGGCTCGCGCGATCGATCCATTGATTTCGAGTGGACTTGTACTCGTCCTCTGCGGGGAGAGAGGATGATCCGACTCATATCGTTTTTTTTTTTGTTTGATTTTGGTTTTGGTTTTTTTGTGTCTAATTTTCACGGTTAAATTGTTTGGAGATGAGGAAGAGGCAGAAGGGAGGTGGAGCCATAGCGACGAGTCTCGGTTACACGCGCTCCTCGATCACTCGAGTCAATCGAGCGCTCGCGACCGATTCGAGAGGCGACAAACTGTAATCTAATTAGATAAAAGTATGGTATATATTTAAGAAACTTACTTCGACGGCGTTACCCGGCAGTTGGTATCTCGTCTGGGTGCCTGGCGTGGCCTGCAGCTGCAATTAAAATCAAAACACACTGATGGTTTTTCTCTTTTCTTTTGCTCTTTTCCAATTTAAAATAAAGTAGACGAGAAATCGTTTTAACGTTTTATTAAAACGCGTTTATTCACGTTGGAACATTGACACGTATTACATTAATTTTATACTTTGTATCTTATTCTTATAATGTTATATAATTTGGACAAGTAGACACACCCGCGTTACATATAAACACTCTAGACCTCGTTTATTCTTGTAGAAAATAATTTTCATTAGTTGTTGATGCGTTCTCGTTTTATCATGGAACGGTTCAGAATATTCTTTATGTTGTCCACGCTGAAGACACTCTTGTAATCCATATGAAAGGCAAGAGTCGAGTACTTCTTGCAACCTTTACCTGGTTTCCCGCTGTCTTTGCACCCTGGCGCACGTACCACCGGTGGACACTTAGCTGGCTGTTCCGGCTTGCCGCACTTCTCGGTCCTCCTTGGCTTACACTTTGGTCTCTCCTTTTTAGTCGTATCTTTCTTGCAAGGGTCTCTCTTAGGAGTCTCCTTTTTGCAAGGGTCTGGTTTCTTGCACTTCTCCCTCTTTTTGCATTTAGGTTCCCTCTTCTTGCAATCATCCTGTCGTTCTTTGCAGGGTGTTGGTTTCTTCTTTTCTTTCTTGTCCTTTTTTTTGTCATCCTCCTTGCATATAGTTTGGCCGTAGATTTGTTTGCCTTGACTCTCGGCTGGCGGATCCTTCTTCTTTCCAAACAGTACAATGTCTTTTGAACGATCAGAGGGTTCCACGAGAATCCCGTCGAAGGCCGGTGCCATTTCCTCGGTGGCGAACAATGTGTCAAGATTGTACGAAACCAAACTCGTCGTAGAGCTCGACCTTCGCCTGTTGCTTTTTAGAGTCTCGAGGAACTGCGCGATCTTCGACGACACTTTCTGCACCGTCGACAGAGACTCGTTGCTCATTCGTTCGTTTTCAGATTCGTAGCTGGATGTAGTCCTACCCACGCTCATTTCAGAATTTCCCGTCGATGATTGTTCCACAGAGATCGGGTTCCCAGTTCCCGTGAACGTTTCTAGCAAGTTTGAATTGTCGTCGCCCGGGGCATTCACGTTTTCAATTGTTTCAGGCGGCAAATCGGTTACAGAAGTGGTCACGTTCATCCTCTCTTCGGGTAGCTTCGTACCGAATTTCTTCTGACTTGTAACTCCAATCGGTTTGATTTGATTCTGATTTCGCACGTACAGTTTATCGATCTTGCAGCCAGTGTAGTTACTGTTACGACGATCCGCGATCGCTTCCTGGACGTCCAGGAATCTAAAGAAGAAATTAGCTAGCGGTTTTCGTCTCTGTCGGACCAATCCGTACAACATTTTTGGTTTCTTGTCGCCCAGGGCTGCAGGGATAGTCCAGTTCTTCGGTTTTCCCAAATTACTCGGCCGTCCAATGATCTTGCTCGTCGCATCCTCGACGATCTTCACCTCGTTGAATTTTTTCACGCGTATCTTCTTCTTATCGTTGCACTTTTGTGTTATTAAAAAATTCTCGGTCACTTTCTTCTCCGCGATTTGCTCCGAAGAAATCATATTCAGCTTCTTGCCGAAATCTTTCTTCTTCAAATAATTTTTTTTATCCATCGAGCCGGTATTTTTCAACGATGCGGCAATTTTGTCCACGTTTCTTGACGACTTCGCGTTGGCCGCGATAAAGGCATGCGTGTCAGCGTGCTGCATGCGGTTTCCATCGGGCAACAACACGAGGGTCGAGTACTGTCGTCGCGCGAACGCAGCGACGTTACCGTCAATAGTATTCTGACGGCTCTGTGTTGCGAAATTAGAAAAATGTCTACGGATCTCGGAAGCGATGCGAACACAGTCGTCGCCGGCGTCCCGGATAACGGGCCCCATTTCGGCGAGAACTCGAGGGCTTCGTAGCTTGCTACCATACGCGTTGTCCCCCTGAGAACAGACGGAGAGACGATTTCAAGGTTTGTTCGAACTTGTTCGGGTATTCTTTATCTTTGTAATAATCCCTCAGGACAGAGGAGGGGATAGAAGACGTAACTAAACCCTTTGCCAAGGCATCATTTCAGTGACAAACGTTCTATGAAGACTTCGTAATTACAAAGATAATTGTATTCTATTTATATAAGAATATCGAAATTTTATTCACTGTGCACTGATTATTTGTATTTAGGAAGAATTGATTTAATCTGTAGAATTATACATTTCATCGACGATCGCAATCTACAAGAGATTGCATCTCGTAGAAATAAAATGAGTTCTGCTGTGAAGTTGGAGTCAAAATGGAAGCGAACAGCTTTTGTCATAGAAGTCTTCAATTGTATTAAATGGTTTTGAGAAAGAGCGAAAGGGATTGCGGTCAAGGAAAATTCCTCGTAGCCTGGCAAATGGTTGAACGTTTATTTGGCAGATTTAACGTATTCAAAGCCCGTTCATCGTCTCTCGTCATAGCATTTTCTCAGGGAAAGGGATATTGCAAAAAGAGGCGCGCGGCGCACGGACGTGATCGGAATTGTACGTCGACTCGCGGCAAAAGCAATTCCCCCTAGGTGCCATTCCTTTTTTTTACCCTTATCTTTCGCGAATTAAACCTACGCCGGCTTATGTATTGCATCACGGAAAACATTCTGATTGGCCGGCTCCTCTTTTCTTTCTCATCTCTTAACTAGTAACGAAACTTTGCAATAAATCGATCTTCGAAAATGCTTATCGTGATCCATCACGAATGAAGATCGTAAAAGACCGTTTTGAAAATTCGCACGAAGAATAGCGCCGCCTCGTCAGCTTCTCATCCCTATCCTCCTCCTCATCCTATGTTCGCGACGCGGTTCGAAACAAGTCGACGAGACGCGCCATCGCGTTTTCTCTTTTTATCAGATAATAGTTCTTTCGTCTCGATATTTCAAATAAAACCGTGCGTTCACTTTTCGTATCGAGTTTAATCAAATTTCGTTAAACGATTCACATTTCAATTTAAAGTCTCTTACCTGTGACCCTACCGCTGGCCTCGGCGCCGGGCTCGTGGCACACTCCTCAGCGATCGGCAGACGACGCAGACTTTCCACCAGCTCTCCTGTCTCCTTCTTAACAAAATACATTTTTATAATTAGTCTACTGTTCAATCCGTAAATTCAGCTTGAAGCAAATATGTACTGCTATTTTGTATTTACCTCGTGCATAGGAAGGTAATCACCTTTGCTCGTCCTCGATTTCTCCAGCATCGTTAACATACGCGAATTCTATTCAATAGGACCAATAACGAGAAGTTAAATGAATGAACAACAAAGATTGAAATGAATGGATTGTAGGTTCTATGTATTTGTAGAAAAGTCGAATTCAGGTATGAATGATATAATATGAATTCAGAATGCGTGTAATGTATGAGCCGTCAATAGCAGCGCGTCAGAATGCTTGAACGGTGGAAGATATTTGTTCAAGCGGTACGATATATGCAGTTTAGTTGGAGAATAAGCTTACCGCATTCGGCTGGCCGTTGCTGAAGGTTTTCGGTTTGATGTGCGCTGCGTGTCGTTTGTTCAATGCGGCCACGTCGTATAGCGCGAGTACGTCGAGCTTCGAAGTTTGTTTCAGCATCTGCGAGAGAGATCGTCCAATTTCCCCTGCACCTCCAACCATCGCCAGCTGCACGAACAATTCAAATCGCAAAATGATATATTGTTTCGAGTATCCCTTTAGCGTTCTTCATTGTCCAGTTCTCTCTCGTTAAAGGGAACCCGTGAATGTCCCCCGGAGGGGACGGGAAATCATGGGATGTTGAAACTCGATTTTAAAATATAATTTCGGCACCTTGATGTTCTCTTCACCAGCGTGGAATTTCTGCTGACCGATGGTTTTCACGATGGACTTAGCGGCCCGGGAAAACATTGTTATTCCTGTTGGTCTATTACTGGAAATTTTTGTAACGCCTTCATCGGGCGCCCGACATGTCCAAATTATGGCAACTAACGGTTCCCGTTACCAAGAACGATGCATTTGTTTCCGACGTGAAAAATGAAAATCGCGCGCCGGATCGAGTCGTTCACGGAGACTGTGACTTGATTCTCTTTTGGAAATTTGCGTTCTTTTCATTTTCAATCGATTCAATGTTTTAATTAACATGATTCATCGAACAAACTTCCTAATTTTTAAAAATCTAACATCGGAGAGATATATTAAGATTAATGAAAGACTAATACAAAAGTGGAGTGTGGGAAATATATAAAAAAAAGAGGAACAACGCAAAGCTAGATTTAAATTAAATAGCCGCAATCCTCGTAACTGCAGCCATCTATTCGAGATACACGAGACCCGTGCAAAATCGCTTTTGATAACGGAAGGTATGAAACAGCAACCTGTATTATCGTTCATCGCTCAGCGTTCACAATTTATTGATTGAATTCTGTTATCAACGTTTTCATACTTACCGATTCAATTTAAAACATTATAGAATTTAGCAATTAAAGGAAAGAATCTGAAGACTTCTATAATTTTATATTTTAATATCTTATTTTTATTAAATTTCGAACAGCTTACATTTATAATCAATAAAATTAACAGAATTGTTCGGATAGATTATACTATTACACTTTATTTTTTACTAAACGATTACAATGTACTTTGTAAGTCCATTTATTTGACTTTCGAAAATCTCCTGTTCCGTGCTATCACTATTTTATCGAACGTTCCATTGGATGTTAAGCTTATCCTCTGTTCCATCTGTGGTTTTACTATCAGTAGTACAGGTCAATATTTCATCAAACTAATCAGAACTCCAGTTGGTACTGCTTACCACCAGATATTGTCCGGCTATGTGGAATTAATTACGAAAGGGCATAATCTAAATGAGATCAATTTCATTAAACTAATTTAATTGTCGTTGAACGGAATCCATTATACTGATAAATCTGGACGAACCGGTTATTAATTTCAGTTAACAATTACAAATATAAGCATTTCGACTGATGGCGATTAGCAAGGGTTTTCGATAATTACAAATCAGTTGAATCAAATCCTTTATTAAAGTAATAGGCAAAATCAGAAAGGTACAACATTTCGGTTTGTAAAAATTGTTTATTAAATTAAATATTGAACATGTTCAAATAAATTAGTCAAAACGTTCCTCGTTAGTATCCGTCGTCGGAGCAGGTGATAGTGTAATCGGGGTACTTCTTCTTCAGTAAAGCAACGGATACCTCGTGATCCGCCTTTCCAAAGCCCTGGAAACAAACCAAGATACTGAGACCGACTCTTTTTATTAGAAACAGCGTAAATCAGGAATCCTTCCGGTTTACGGATTCAGCGCACAGGCTCAATCCGTAAAATGTACACAGGAACCGAGGAAAAATCGGCTCTTAAATTATTGCTGACTTAGATCGCAAGTTGAAACAAGGAAGAAAAACATCGCGATATCCCCAAGGCAGCCGTAAAATTGGTTCGCCCAAAGATACATTCCCAAAGTGGCTACATTTTTTTATAAATTATTATTAAATATCAACGTAAGAAAATCTCATGCGTATCTCGCGATGGCAACAATCTTAAAAATAGGATACATGATTAGTTTACAATGGCAGCTGTCCAAACGATTAAACCGTGGAAGCAAGTTTGCTCTACAAATACAATTCCAATCGAGATCCCGATATCATTTGCCACGGTTTCCCGTGAGTTTTAATTTTTATCTAATTCTGATCCCGTTTAAGCCTTGATTTAATGAAAAGTTTTCCTATCGCAAATCTCATAGTTATATTCTTTCAATTTACTCGATATCTACTAATACCTGCATGACTCATTCTTTACAC